TAATAGAAAAAGAAAATATTTAATTATTAATTTGCTATTAAATATAGTATTACTATAAATATCGTAATGTAAAGTATTCTTTTCAATATAATCTTTAAAAATAGAATAATTTCTTTTGAATTTATAATCATTTTTGCCAAAGTATTGATTATAGTAGAAATAGAGTATACTATATTAATCTAAGTGATTATCTTTTGATTCTTAAAATTACTATTTCCTTGAATATAGAATTGAGATAGAAGAGTAATAACACTATCGTTTCAATAATGTTCAACAAACACTATAGATTTCACTAACTAATTAAAAGAAATTCTTTGAATAAAAAACGTAGTTATTATTTGCTCTAATCAGAGTATTATAACAAATACATTTTCTTTGTTTTTCGGAATAGTTTGAGTAATAACATAGTATCCCTTCTTCTTTTTGAATAATATGAAATTATTAATGTACTTTTTTATTTCGATACTCTTATTATTATTACTAATTATAATAAAATTGAATTGAGCTTTTCTCTTTGTATAAGTTACTATTTATTTGTAATACTGATCCTATTGTACTATACTAGATTTATGGAAATCGAATTTCAACAATCTCATCAATTTCTTGGTAATAGATCTCAGGATATATTTAAGGAATATCTCGATTATCTCATTCTTTGTGATCGATTTCTCTTCGATTAATCTCAAGGCTACAAGGTTGAAGCGGTGGGTATAACTGAGGATAATATTAGTATTCTGAATAACTATTTACTTGAAATTATACAAAAGTTTTTGAAAAATATCTTCTGATATTCATTGTTTATCAGATATTTTTTCAATATTATAGATCTGAATTTTCGCTCTTAGTTCTAATGTTCTTTTTGTTAGTGAACTATACTAGTATTCTTGATCTCTTCTCTGAGGATTCGGTTATACTACAATAGAATATATTGATAGAAGTCTTCTTCTATTATGTGATAATTCTTTTATATATACTCTATATCTTTATAGAATTCAATAATATTAATACTATTAAAGAATAGTATACTATCATTTTTGGGAGGGAGTAATAGAATTTGGATTCCTTTCACTATCTGCTCTATAAATATATAAGATTGAAA